GTCTGATGCAAATTACGTTAGATCTCTTGTTTGTTTACAGTTATTTACAGCTGCTTTTGTATATTTTAGTAGACTCTAATGTTATTAGTTGCTATTTACAACTTCATAAAAAAAGAATTACAGAACTTGTCATGATCACAATTACTAGAAACTGCTACTCATTATCACTTATCGGTTAAACTATTCGTAACAGCTGTTGCTTGTAATAGTTATCATCCTTAAATGGTATAACTTACAACACTTATTAGTTAATATGTACAAGTTATAGCTACTTAGCATGGCACTAAACGAAGAAAGAGATGCACGTAGAGCATAACTGTGGGAAATTTCACGTGTAATCTTGATTTATCAACTGTAATTTTATCGATTTTGCCTAATTAAAAAAAAAACCTAACTACTCCAATTGACAGAAATAATAAGTTAAAATTCTTAAAGTAGATTTTACAAAATTAATTTAAATTAATAAATATTTATACCCCAGTTAATGATAACAAACAGCAATTCTTTCAAGGAAACAGTAAAAATATTAACATTTGAAATCGCTGATTAAATTCGAATAGTAATAATAACAATCAACCTTCAAAACAAGTTCAAATTTACCGTTTTAGAAAGACAGAAAAATAATTTCCAGTTCAATAAACCACTCTTTATATATGTATATATATAATCAGTAATTTGAATTTACATAAATATGCAAAAGTAGATAGGATAATACTTTCACAAACCTTTACAATTCACTCTCACTATCGAAATTGAATTATGCATGCTACACTGATGCATATTTATACGTTTTAATTACCGATAAGAGCTTTAATCAACACCTAATCCTGTAAATAAATAAACAAATAAAACTTTTATGTATTAATATAGACATAAGATAAAGAACAAAACAAGAAATAAGACATAAAAAAAAAGACTTACGTAAGTCGTAAGATAATTAAAATATCGATTAAAAATTCCAGCAATGAGTTGCTTAACTATCCCCGCAACATTTTATAACTGCGTGTGACGCCATCTGTTATCATATTTTACTAAAAATAACTTTTTTTAATACTTTTAAGTATTATAAAATGGCAAAAAGTTTAATTTTGAAGGTAAGGATGGGAATAAAAACTAGTTAATGCTAATAACGAGTAAAATTGTCGTTAAGTCCTACCCCACCTGCGATATGACACGACCTCTAATTCCCCCTCTATCTCCCCATCGCATTGACCTTTAATCACTAAAATTTTAACAGCATCAATCCCCCTAATACACAAACCTCCCTGTAAAATTTCAGAAATTTTTGAGAAAAATCACGGGAGTTATTAAGCTTCAAAGAGGGTGAACAAAATCATACCCCCCATACATATACACACACTAATATCAGTACAAAACAAAAAAAACCCCGAAATTATTAGCATTTCTCGACAACTCTCGAAGGTCTTCCGAGTCCAAAAAATGTAAAAATCTTGTCATTTTCTAATCGTCGCCATACTTTTCCTCTGTTATACGTAACAGAATCGGGAAAGTAAAAACGGGAGTGTGTAATTGGTTGTTGGTCTCAGACAAGTGTGTTGTTTACCAGACACGAAAGCGGATAATCTTGTAGTTCACAATTGCCACGGGCTAAAAACTGTGTACGGAGGGAGGAAGCTTTCGATACATTCGAAGCTGAGCGCGAGCTTTCTACAGATTTAATTTCCGTTAACGAGTTTGTTTTGGTCACACGCTCACTTTCACACTAACAGGAGGCGGAAGAAAAAAAGAAGAAGAAGAAGAGAAAAAGAAATAGAAAAAAAATCGACTTTGTCTAGAGTACCCATAATAGAAAGTTAACAAGCACACAGAACTAAGATGTAACATTCAACTTACGCTCGTTATGCCTTTAAAAATCTTACTTAAAAATAAAAAGAAAAAGAAAGAAATTTAAGCTACTAACAGGTAATTTTTCTTATTCTAATTCGGTAGCTTAATTTGCATTTTAAAAAAATATATGTATATATTCCTATTTTAATAAATGACAGCTAAATATAGCTGGAGTTAAAAATAGTCATTTTATAAACTCGTAAGTTTTTAAATTAATAATTATATATCGAAGTATTAAGCACGAATTTCCTTAGTTTATACTTATTTGTTGATGTAATTATTATCAAATTTTTTTAATGCCATTTTAAATATATTACTTTAATAGCTATCACATTTATAACATTACACATACATGTGCTACATTTAATAGATTGATCACATGTCTAACACACTGAGTGAAATTAATCAATTTCACATAAAATTGATCACTTCAGGAACAAAAAAAAAGTGCTACAAAATTAACCTAACCCACGCAAAACTAAGATTCAAATGTATTTTTTTTTTAAATAATTATAAACCTCTAATTACTTTACGTAATTTAAACGGCTATGAAATAATAAAAGAACTGTTGAATGTCTCTGTTTTTAAATATTTTAAAAGAAAAATAATGTAAAGAAAGACAAAAATTAATTTAGCTGACATGCCCTGGAAACAGAGAGAAAAAAAAAAGTGATTTCAATCGCATTTCATTACATAAAAAAATCACTTTTATAGTAAAGAAAAAAAGACTAGAAAATACAGAAAACAATTTCACAGAATATATATATATATAATTTGTTAAATATCATTTACACAAACCATTTTGGAAAATCAATCTGTAGGATTCTAGCGATTTTACTCTCTTCCACACACGCATATCCTACACACAAATATATTTTCTAGGATACAAAGAAAAGGAAAGAAACTAAATATCAAACTTCAGTAACTGGGAAAATTCTAACCGTATGCAAATCGATTCTCCCTGAAGAAAAATAGGATTTATCTTTTTTTTTTTCTTCTTCTTCTTCTTCTTTACAACAAACCATAACAGAAAATATTTGTTTCTATGGCACGCAATAGAAAGTCTCTGATATTCAATTTTTTACAATTGAAAAATATTTTTTAATATTACAAGATTCTTTAAATAATTGTTCAAACGATGCTTTTGTTTTACTATTAAAATCATATACGTAATTAAGTTATACTCTATGATATAAATAATGCAGTGGACACTATAAAAATAATAAACTGTTTAAAACATGGAGGAGTGTAATCCTTAAGTAAAAATTCTTCTTCTTCTTGATTTCCAGCTTGAAACGTGTTGATTTCCGATGACCTAATTATCAGTAAATCAATGTTTCCAGTCATTACTCAAAAGGGGAAACGGTTTAAAAGTAGAAAAGAACATTAAACTCTGGAATTGTGAAAACTTCTGAAGCATATTCTTCTATGATCGATGATAAATAATTCATTTTAACTCAGCAAACTCAATTAGGAATTGAATGTTTTGAAAACAAAAATTACTTTACATGATAAATTTAATTTCATCAGTAAAAAAAAAACTTCTCTGTTTTTAAAACTAAATTAATATTTTCTGAAATTTTAATTCATTCAAATGAAAATTTCTATACAAATATAATTCAATTATGTTACATTTTAAAATAGGAATTACTAAAAAAATAAAAATATAATTTACTTGTATATACAGCATTATCTTGAGTTTATAAATTGTATTAAGATTGTTTATTGGCATCATCACCGGATGATAATGTCTCAATTTCGGCTTGTCGGTTTTCAGAAATGGCATTTCCTTTTAATTGTGTTGAAAGATTTGCATCAACAGGTCCTCCTGCATCTTTATCGCTAATGATCTTTTTTGTTAATCTAAATTCATTACAATAATGACACTGGCCGTCTTCCTGTTCCACACTGCTATGCAATAGAGAGGCACTAATACATTTGGAATGAGCGAGAGTTGGAATAAACTTTTGTTCTCTTACAAAGACACAACTTTCTGTTATAGATGGACAATTTGTAGAAGGAATAATTGCTTCTGGAGTATTATCATGTTCAATAATGGATCCTTCTACTAAAGAATATTGATGAATATCACACAAAGTTTGGTTACCTGCTTTTACTTTATCTTTGTTGTCTGTTAAATTAATACACTGCAAAGATAAGGAGGAGAAGATCTCGTCGTTTGGCACGTTTGAAATTTCTTTACCGGTTCCCTCTTTTTCGAATTTACTTGCCGCCAAACCTCCGAAAACTTTAACTGGCGATGACACGTCCGCCAATCTCTTCATTAATTGAGAATACAGTAGATCCAACTCGTTCATGTGCTCCCTGAAAGAAAAAAAAAACTAGAAATATATATATCCACTTAGAAATTTCACTTATTCTTACTTTTTTTATAAAAAGAAAATTTATAAAATTTATTACTCAATTTAACATTTAATTTTTCCAACTTTAAAAAAAAAAAAAAAAACAAAAACTATCATTTTAAACAGTTTAACTGTATTGTTGCAAATAATAGATCTTCATTGGCTAATTTACTTCTGGTATCATTTAATTTTCTGCTGCATTTGCCTTCTAGTGATGTATTTTATCAGCTTATGAAACAAGAAACATTGTGAAATGAGACTTATAAAATGGTTTTGGATAAATTTTGTCAGATAAAATGCAAAATATTCATTTTCTGTAATTTAATTGCTATTTAATTACAAAATTCCAAGCATAAATTGCCATTAAATGATTATTATGATGGTTTATTGCGCTTAGAATTAATTATTCTAAAAACATAATTATTATTTTGGAGTAATTATCATTTGTTTTTCTAATTAGATAAGATTATTTTAAACTTATATACTCGTACATTAAGTGAGTTAATAATTATTAATGTAGAGAAAATATTGATGGAAAAAATTACTATTTAATTACTAAAATAAGAAAAATAAAATTTTTGAGTAGATTAATTAAAATTAAATGTGAAGATCATTTAAAAGCTGTTAAAAATGTATACAATACATTTGATTGAAAAAAAATCCTATTTAAATGCAATTAAACTAACCATTAAACAAAAGCTAACATTATAAATTCAGTGCGTTATTTTTAATTAAAAGAAAATTAATAACAATTGGAATAAAGTAATACTAATGTACAGCTTTTTCACCTTGCGTACAAAGTTTTACTTCTAAAATAATTATTTTCTAAATTTATTTAAATTTTTATTTAGAAAAATTTATTTTATTCTATACAATAGTTATAAATGTATCATGTATACACTAAACCAAAAGGTAGATTTAAACTAGATATGATATATAAGAGGATGCCGAAAGAGAACTCCGAAGACTGAATCTTTAAATATGAAGATGGATGTATATTTATCTTTCTATCTCATGCCTGTCTTGCAAAAAAAGATAGATTTTATGCATATATATCTTCTATCTAAATGTTTGAATAGAGGTGATAAAATAAGATTCAAACTGTAAAAAATTTGAAGATAAATAGAATATTTATAATTTATATATTTATAATAGAACATTTATATAAAATAAATATTTTATATAATCTACTTGTGAAAAAACCAAAATATTAAATAATTAAATAAACATTTATCAATGTAATTATTTGTCTCCAAAATTTGTCCTCACTGGAAAATTTTCTGCAGATGCCCATGATTATCTTACTAAATTTAGAATTATTTTGCACATGAGATCCTCTCTCTATCCCCTGAATATGCAATATATTATCCCATGACCATAAATATATATTTTCTAATAACTAAATAATAAAAATTAATTAAATACTCTTTACATCTAGTATAAGATCTTATTAGATTAATATACAAGTGAGATTTTATGCACAAACCTACTTCTAATTAACTCTTATATGATAATAGCCATACAGTACTGTTTTAAATATTAATTTCTATAATCACACAGACAAAACAGTCTACCCCAAAAAAATTTCTGAAGATTTTTAACTGCATGGATTTGATCCTTGGTTCCCCAGAGCAGTAGGCTGATGCTTGGATTGTTTCCACTATAACAACTTCTTTATTAGGAGTGAATACTTAATGAACAATGTGACTGCATATTAAACTGAATATAATCATAAACTTGTGCTAAATATAAGTTTATTGTTTATATTTAAATCAGTTTTGATAATATACTATAATGTAAAAAGAACAAAAGATCATAATGGTTACAAAACAGTTCCTCTTATGGCAAGTTTAAGTAAATAAATAAATCATGCATCCTGCACAGTTTAAAGGTTAAAAATAGATTCCATCTTCAGAATGAAGCATTTTTTAGTAATAAATTTGAACTGTACTATTTATTATATAAAACTGCTTCATTCTGAATAAGGAAACTTTCCAAGTGTGCTAAATAAATAGCAGTACTTTTGACTTAAGATTGGATTGGTAGAGTGAGGCAACACAACAAGAGGGCATTCTGCCAATGAGGATCAATCTTCTATGGAAAACTGGCTCCTATTTAGATGCAAGACACATGAAGAAAAATTGGAAAACTTTGTGTGTAGCATAGGTTTGCTCCATGCAGCAGGAGCAAACCTAAGCCAACTACCAGTGTTTGGCAATTTTATCCACTTGGCCACTGGTAAATTTAAGCCCGATTTATTTACTAAATCTTACCTTTTATAAAACTAGACAGAAATTAGAAATTTAATGTAATTTTTAATATTTATTTCTAAATTAAATAAATAATTAAAAGCATTTCAAATGAGAGAATCTTTCTGTCAAAATGCATAGAAATATATTCTAGAAGTTTTCATTAAAAAAATATATAAAATCAGGTATATAAAAATAAAAGTAAGAATTTATAAATTCAGAAAATATGTAAAATTCAAAATATATATTATTAGATTAGATATGTATTACATTTGAAATGCTAATAACTTTTATAAGAAAGTTTTGTTTTTAAGCAGTAATATTCATCAATTCATCAGAAACAAACTATGCATTCTACAAAGTGAAAGCTTGCCTTCTAGAAATGGAAAAATGATTCTAAAGAACAAGATTTTGTCTAAATTCTAAATAAAATTATTCATGTAACAATATTCATTACAATAATAAGCAATGTAATATATAATAAATGCTTTACCTTCTTAAGCTAGAATTTATACAAAGAATGCTTTCAATATGCTAAAAATTTAATTTTATCTCTAGATAATAAATATGATAATTACTTTGTATTAATTAAAATTTTCAAAGTACTGAATCTTTGTTTGTTATGTTTAGTAAAACTATGACTTAAAGCAGAATGCCAACTTCCACCAGATCATATACAGAATGATTCAAATAACTTTACAGTAGTATAAGCTGAAGCAATATGATTCAGAATTTAATAATATACACTGACTTAAAGCACATATTTTATCAGTGTGGACTCTAATAAATCAGTTAGTTATATTTTGGCACCAAATCTTATTACATTAAACTTTGCTAAGTGTCAATAAAACAGTATATATACCTATATGACAAGTAAAAAAAAAAAAAACACATCAAATGCATGTTAATGACAAACAAGATGCAAATGCACTTTGCACAGTGCAAAGTATATGAAGCATGCATACTTCTCTCTATCAGTGAAGCAAATAGTGTGTTCTTATTAGCAGATAATTTCCTCAGATACAATCTTTTTCAGATATAAATAACTGTAGATTTCCAAACATATATTTATAGCTCTTATGCTTGTATTCATAACCAAGGATCATGAGTTAGAAGCTAACCAATAAACATTCGTAGACTATAAGTAAATGGTAATTGGTTAACTTAAAACTCTGTGATTATGGCCATTAGATAACTATAAACCTTTAACAGGTTATCTCCTTCCATTATCATTTACTGTCTGTAACGAAAATTAAATATTGAAAATTTTGTAAATGTTGTTTACTATAAATGGCTAATTAAATGTAATAGTCGTCATTCTGTGGTTTATTTTAAAATAATAATGTATTCATTTGATGGAAAGATTTTTCACACCTTTGATATCAAGGCTAAAAATTAGATATTTTTATATTTTAATTGACAATTTCTTTATGTAATAACAAAATTCTCAGTATTTATACTCTGTTATAGAAACTTAAATAAGAAAAATGCTTCTCCATATTTTAAATTTATTTTCTGAAGATAATTACGGTAATTAATTAATACAGTGTTTCAAGGTTGTCTTGAATAAATCATGAAATTTTCTTAGCAATATTATTGCATGTTTTTTTGTTCTTCATACAAAGTTAACATTTGTATTATGTAATAAAGCACACAATTCTATGCAATAAATTATTTTTCTTATAAATCAAGAATTATGAAGGAGAATTAACAGCAATTAAGTCACTGTTAATCCTGCTTAGTTAGAACTCATTAAAAGAAATTATTTTTCTGTTAATTTTACTTTTATATGATAAATTAATGCAATAAAACATTTAAATACATTTAATTAAATTTTATTTTATTTATTATTTCTTAATGTATAAATCAAATTATTTTTATTTCACTCATAACATAAATATTATATATTAAAATTTGTTGAGTATATGAATTTAATAAATTAATTTCAGTAACTAAAATTACATGAATATACAACAAGAAGCTGATTTAACATGCATTTTTGTAGTTTTGGATACATTTATTAAATGAAGATATAAAATAAAAATCATTCTTTAATGCAAAATATACTAGAATTTCCAGAATTATCATGTCTAATTCTCATTCTTATAAGCTCCATGTGACTGATATTGCTTGGGTTTTTGAGGATGTGGGAATTAGTGAAGAGTTGGGTTGGAAGAGGGTGATAAAAGTAATGGTTTTAGTAACTAAAATGTACATTTATTGACTCAAGTATTTACAACAATAAACTGCAAAACACAAAAAATTATTGAGTTTAAGTTAAGAGGGGTGGAAACGCTACAATATTTTTTCTATGGTGTAAGAAGAATATTTTTACTAAATTTGGTGTGGTTACATTGAATTGTATAAAACCATATATCTAACACACATGTAAAATCTTAAGTAATTCACGATATCATTCTTAAAATCTGTATAAGAAATTCAATATAAATAAATCTTATTTACTTTTTTGTTTCTGTATTATCTACTTGGACCATGTTTATAAATAGGACTTATTATACTGGTGTAGTTTCTGATTAGCAAAGAGAGGAAGTCTTCGTCAAAAGTCAAAGCAAAATATCTTTATTTTTACCTGATATTTTGTTTTGACTTTTGACTAAAATTTCCTCTCTTTGCTAATCAGAAACTACACCAATTTAATAAATCCTATTAATAAACAAGGTCCAAGTAGACAATATAGAAACAAAAAAGTAAA